ATGCGTGCACAAAAAAGCAAACTGTATTATCTTCTAAGTGAAGTTTTTTTCATCTTACGCCTATATCTGATTGGGTGGACATAGGATTAAAATCAGATGCATTATGGGAAGGGACATGTGCAGTGAGCAAAGGCCTACTAAGACAAGCCTGTCAATCAAAATAGAGAACTACCCAAACCACAAGCCTAGTAACCAAACTCCTCCTTCCTTTTGATGCTATAAGAAGCCCCAGGCTATAACCCAGGGCTCTCAAGGGCCTTCACTCATGTGGCAGCTGTCACTCTTGACAATGGATCTACCTGTTCTATTACTTTGCTTTGAATACAGCTACCTTGCACTTTTGAAAATCTGTGAAAGCCTTTATTTCAATTCCTGTATTAGAAGCCAAGAACTTAGAAACACCCAGCCCAGACCCCAACCACTGGTAACAGTTTCACTGGAATACTATATAAAATATTTTAAAAAGCAGTAATGCTGATTTTATATTTACTCAGAAAACAAAGAGGAAAACTTCCCAAACTATTTTGAGTATCTAGTGTAACTTTGTTGTCTAAAACCTGAAAAACACATTACAAGAAATGTAATGGATCACTATTTCCCCGAAACACAGACTATAAAATCTTTTAAATTTTTATTTATTTATCTATTGTTTTATTGTTTTATTCTTTTGAGATGGAGTCGCTCTATAGCCCAAGCATTTATTTATTTATTTATTTATTATTTATTTATTTATTGTTTTGTTATTTTGAGATAGAATCTCTCTATAGCCCAAGCTGTCCTGGCACTAGCTATGTAGACCAGGGTGACCTCGATCTCACAGAGATCCACTTGCTTCTGCCTTCTGAATTGTGGGATTAAAGGTGTGCACTACCATGCCTGGTTGTTTATTTTTATTTTATGTGTATGAGTGTTTTGCCTGCATATGTAAGTGCACCCATGTCATGTTATGCCCATGGAAGCCAGAAGAGGGCAACAGATTCGCTGAAACTGGAGTTACAAATGGTTGTTAGCTGCCATGTGGGTGTTGAGAACTGAACCCGGGTCCTCTGCAAGAGCAGCCAGTGCTCTTAACTGCTGAGCCATCTCTTCAGGCCTGAAAATAAAATCTTAACAAAATAAAATCAAATAGAAACCAGCAAGGAATTTAGTCTAGGAAAGAAAAGCTACAATTCTTCCACTAATAGAAGAAAAAAAAAATCTATATACAAGCATCCCTATAGACACAGATATAAAAAATTCAAAACCTATTCAAGATAAAAATTCTTCACTAACTCCTCCCAGACTAAAAAGGACTCTTCCGCAGTCCTTTTTTCTGGAAAGCAGAACTAGCAGGGGACATGGTATCATATAGCTCAGGCTGGAACGTACTCTATAAACTGAGCAACATCCCAGCTCCTCCCCACCCCAGTCTTTTAAGCTAGTATACTTAATTTGACATGCTCAGTGCTTCCCCCTAAGAAAGAACAAGTCATGTGTATCTGCTTTCTTACATTTCTATTTTACATTGTAACTCAACACGGTTCTACAGGAGCTAGTCAGTACAATAAGAGAAGAAAGAAGTAAAAGGCAAAAACATTACAAATAAAAGAAAGCTACCTCTGTTTACAAACATGATGACTGCAACTATAGTAACCCCACCCCCCTGAATCTCCAAAAGGGATGAGCTAATGGACCCAAAAAGTGAATTTAACAAGGTTGCAGGATGGCAAGGTTCTCTATTCATTTTTGTATTTTTGAGAGAGGGTTTTATTATGTTACTCAGGCTGGCAATGAACTCACTATATATAATCCAGGCTAGCCTTGAACTTGCTCTGCCTGCCTTTACCTTGCCAAGAGCTGTTGGTATAAGCATGTGCACTATGCCCAGCTTCAGATGAGAGGTTTGCTGTTGTTTTTAATACAAGGTCTCACTCTGTAGCCCAAGCTGGCTTTGAACTCACAGGAATCCCCCTACCTCAGCTTGCTGGGTGCTGGGATTACAGGGATAAGCTGCCACACCTGGTCATGCATATTTTAAATTGTATTTTTCTATATTGGCAAATAATCAGAAAAAAAACCCAGATAAAATACAGTTCAACATCACTAAAAGATTAAACATTTGAGATTAAACTTTAAAAAAATCAATACAATAACTATTAAAAAATGCAAAATGTTAGCTAGATATGGTGGCACACACCTTTAGTAATCTCAGCACTCAGGAGGCAGAGGCAGGCAGATCTCTTGAGTTCAAACCTAGCCTGGTCTACAGAGCAAGTTTGAGGCCAGGGCTATATAGTGAGATCTTGTATGTAAATAAACAAATAATTAAATAAATGCAAAGTGATGCTGAAAGAAGTTAAAAGACAGGGAAACGTACGTGTAACATATTAATTTTTTTAATCATCTAGATCCAGTAGAACCTTAATCTAAAACCTATAGTCTTTTGGAGAATGGAGAGTAAGAACTTACAAGTTCATTTAAAAACTGATTATAGGGGCCTGGGGGATGGTTCAGTTAGTAAAGGACTTTCTCTTGCAAGCTCGAGGACCTGAGATTGAGCCCCAGAACCCATGTAAAACTGTTGTGCACTGTGGTGCCCATTTCTAACTGTAGCACCAGGGAGGCAGAGACAGGAGATCTTTGGGGCTCACTGGTCAGTCAGTCTAGCTGAATTGGGGAGCGTTAAGCTAGTGACATTCTATCTCAAAGGAGGTGAACAGCGTGCCAGCAGATGAGCCCAGAGGTGGTCCTTGTGCCTCCATGGGCACCCACAAACACACATAAGCACAAACACACACACACACACATCCCACAAACATGCATACACACATTTTTAGAAATTGTACGAAATGTGAAGGATCTAAATAGCAAAAACAATCTTAAAACAAAGAAAAAAGAGAATTTACACTGTCTGACTCAAGTTTTACTGTAAAACTACAGTAACACTACAACACGGTAGCTGAGATAGACAACAGATCCAAGAAACACAACTGGCCCATATGTAGGCAATCAACTGATTTTCAACAGTCATTTCAGTGAAGATGGTTTTCTCAACAAACAGTACTGAAATAAGTGGATAAATGTGGAATAAACCTCTCAGTCTCTACTTAGTTTACACCAATAGTCCTAGATGAATCATAGATCTGAACATAACGCCAAAATCAATAAAGCTACTAAACATTATATGAGGCCATATTTTGGCAGTGGGGTAGGAAAACACCCCTAGAGATAGGGGGAGGGAGGAGACTTTACTATTAAACCAAAAAATGATATATTGGTTTTCATCAAAATTTTAAATACCTGGGGCTAGAGAGATGTCTCAGTGGTTAAGAGCTCTGGTTGCTCTTGCAGATGACTCAGGTTCAGTTCCAAGTACCCACATGGTAACTAACAATCATCTGTAACTCCAGTTTCCAGGGAATCTGATGCCCTCTTCTGGTCTCCAAGGGCATTGCATGCACATGGTAGACTTGCACACATGCAGGCACTCATACACAGTAAAAAAAAAATTTAAAAAAATTTAAATGTCTGGTCATCAAAACAGAATGTTAAGAATGTGATAAGGCAAACCAAACACTGGGAAAAGTACTCATAAGACACATCTGAAAATGACTTAAATTCAAAATATATGATGAATCCTACAGATTAATAATAGTTAAAAACTATAAAGGAACGTCCTAATAACTTCTGCTTTGAAATAAAAAAATTAATTAGGTACCCCAACAAAAACACTACAGAGTGATGAAGACTTTGGGAGGTATAGAATGTTTAGTAGCTACTGAAGTTTTCTCTTACGAAAAGCAAAAACAAACAAAACACCAAACCAGTTAGCCCATTATGACACACTATTAATTAAAAAAACAAAACTCACCCAGGACCAGAGATGCAGCTCAGTTGGTAGAGTGCTTGCCTAGCTCTGGGTTTGATCCCCAACACCACATTAAAAACAAAAACCGAAACACTGAGCATGGCAGCATACGCTTCTAATTCTAGCATTTAGGAGGTAGAGTCAGGGGAAGGAGTTCAGGGATAGCCTGCTTGACAAGACGCCCTTTCTCAACAACAATAAAAAAGTTCTAGTCAAAAGTAAGTCTCTGCAGTTGAGGCATATATAGCATGTTGGGACCTAGACTGTAGCCCCCAGCTTCCTCTCCTGTCCTCTGTCAATCAAACAGCACACTCTCAGCTTTCCTCTGGCACTATTCTGCCTGGCTCCCTCAGAGCTGCCCACATGGTTCCTGCATCAACTTCCCACATCCTCCTGTCGTCCTGTTTAGACACTATTCCCTCCTCCCCTGAGTAAGGAGCACCTTACCATTAGAGCTGACCACCCAGGATCATGAAAGGCTCTGTGGTTAGTCCCAGCTCACTTGAAACAGACATACTTTGGCAAGTGGGATGGGTGGCCTGTTGATGCGTACATATATTAACATACAGACACACAAACACACACAGGCACAGACACACAGACACACACACACACAATCAACTCACAGAAAACTAATTTGGGGGCAGGCAATCTTGCCATTATGGGGTAACTGTGCTCAAACATGGCATTGCCTAGCAACAGGAGGAGAAGGCACATCCCAGCACTGGGTTGTAATGAATCACTCACTTGACTACTGTTTAAAATGGGAACAGATCTGATGGGAAGATCTGGTTCAATCTGGAACAAGACTTCAGAGTATTCTGTAGACTCAAACTAAGAGAAGCAGCAGGTATTTTACCCACAGTCAGGCTTCAGACCAAAGGAGACTTCCTATTTATCCTGTTAGATCACGCATTTGTTGAAAAACTACACTATACAAAAATATGGTTTTGATAGCCTTGTTCCCATGACATTTTGTTCTGGCTGTGCTCCAACTTCTAAGCCTTCACATATGGTTAATGAATATCACACATGTAAGAAGGTAAAAAGGACAAATAAGGTGTTCATAATTAAGAAAATAGGACATCTGAGCATCTGCCTTCCCGTCAAATTCCCTGGTTTTAAATGAAGGTGTGAAAAGAGCCCCACATACGAGCGAGATCTGTGTCTGGATCGCCTGTTGTTAGGGTCCACTTGGCTTTTTTCCTTTTGTCTCCTTAATACAGCTTCCCACTGAGGCGCTGAATCAACCATATCATTCTCCTGTCGTATTCTGAAAAGGAAAACCATTCATCTAAAGTTAACATCCAAGCCAGAGATGGTGGACCACAGCACACCTGTAATCGCAGCACTAAGGGGGCTGAGTTGGGAGAAGTATGAACCCATGGCCAGCCTGTGCAGCACAGAGACATCCTGTCTCAGAAATAATTACCCCAAAATCATGACGTTAACGCCCAAAAATGGTGCTTTACTATCATCTGAAACAAGTTTTTTTAAGGTTATTTAAGCGACAGCAGTTCAATTACCAGCACTGAAAGCTAAGACTGTACTACCTGGATTACTGTATAACTACGTAAATAAGTGTATATTCCCATAAGTATATACACACAAACATATACAGTGTTCATGTTAAGTACATTAATGTATTTTTATTTCCAGACTTCTTTGCTTTAAAAATTTTTAAGAAAAAGCGTGTCAAATAAAAACAATAATTGGGGGGTTGGAGAGATGGCTCAGCAGTTAAGAACTCTGGTTGTTCTTGCAGAAGACCCAGGTTTGAATCTCAGCACCCACATAGCAGCTAACAACTGTCTGTAACTCCAGTCCCAGGGCATCCAACAGCCTCTTCTGACCTCCGAGGGCATTGTACGACATGGGTGTACTTACCTTCATGCAGGCAATATACACATACACATAAAATAAAAATAATAAATTAAAAATAATAATTGGAAACACCTTTAAGCCAGGTGTGGTGTCCATCTGCAATCACACTTAGGTGGTAAAAGCAGGAAGATCAGAAGTTCAAGCCAGCCTCAGCTGCATAGCAAGTTTGAGGCTGGGTTGGGCAACATGAGACCCTGTCTCAACACAATTTAATTTTGACCAAAGAAATAACCAGTGTAATACTACAATACTATTTTTTTTTAGACAGAGTTACAATGCTAATCTTAAAGTCTTTAATAAAAGCATTTTTATTTTTTAATGCATGCTAGTTAAAATGCAATACCTTTACAAAAACTTACTTTGAAAAGGTCTTAAAAATTCACAGTAATTGTTAACATTATCATGAGCCATAGGAACCAGACATAATTACATAATTACCATTTCTTTTTAAGACAGAAAACCAGAAGTGTACAAAGTTCAATATGGTAGGACAAGGCTTTCCCAGCTGAATAAGCATGTACCATTTTTACGTGGGGTTGCTCAAATGTATAAGACGGAATGGAAATTGTACAGCCAAATGGCAGGTGCCAGGCAGCAAACCCAAATGAGGGAAAGGAAGATGGCAGTGGGTGTCAAGGAGCACAGGCCTTTCCATCTGTGATCACAGGACAGCACTACCAAAGGCTCTCATTTTTCCAAAAGACGAAACCCGTAAGTCTGGATGTTTAAAGTGAACTCTTCTAATTTGCAAGTATTGGCAAGCAATTCTGAATTTTTGTGTGAACTTAACAAACTCATCACAGATCCCACTCAGCCTGTAGTAGTTTTAGCCTCGGATGTATCTATTCTTCATGAGGTGAAGCATGGTGGAGGTGAGAACTTAAAGAAGTCCTTAACATGTAAATAAAGATCAGAAGTTCAAGGCCAGCACTGCAAAGATGCCGTGGAGCTGTGAATACTCTCGGTGCAAATCAAACACCTGTTGTGTGATATTATGTGACTATCTAACTTTTCATTTCTGTAAGCTCCACAGGAGGCTGCACCAGTGAGTGCCTCCTGGGTGTGGAGAGACACTTGGGACTGTCTCATCCTGGTACTGCAGCTATGTGAGCCTGACTGTGAAGACAACAGCAGAAAGCACCAGCAAGTTTGAGTGTCCTCTCTAAGCAGGGTCCTTGTATTCCCGGTACAGCACTTAGCATAGACTGCGGACTGCATACATTCGCTTGGAAATCAGAGTCAGTGATGGCAGCAAATTCATCTCACACAGAATTAAACAGTGATAACAGAATGAAAATTCAAGTGAAAAAGAACAGTACCTTATGAAGAAGAAACTATTTAATCTGTAGACAAAGGGGAATGATGGAAAGTAAAATAGTTATCCACAGCAAGCTGTAAGCCTTTGAAATGTATTTCCTCCCTAATGTTTTCATGTCTGCTATTTGAAGAATAACATGATGTAATCATGATACATGTGCAAACATGCATATATGATATTTTGATATCGTTTACTTAAACAATTTTTATTAAGAATTCATGCAGGGACTGGAGAGATGGTTCAGCAGTTAAGAGCACTGGCTACTCTTACAGAGGACTCGAATTCGATTCCCAAAACCCACATGGCAGCTAATAACAGGCCATAACTCCAGTTTTAGGTGTCCCCATGCTCTCCTCTGACCTCCCCTGGCATTGCACACACAAGTGTACTTATATACATGCAGGCAAAACACTCATACACATAAAATAAAGTAAATTACGAGTTTTTTTAATTCCATGCTTGGGTGGGGTATAAAATCCTTATCTTTATACTCATAGATATCTCTCAGCTCTCATCAAATAAGCTTTTTTTTTCTGGCAATAGGTATCAATTAACAGAGAGACCCACAGTTGGTCAGTGTGCAGTGAATAAGAGACTATGGAATGCTCAGCTCTAAATGGAACATCTATATCACACTCCTGCCATAAAGGCTTAGGGAGCATCCCTTTATCACACCCCCTGTCCCTAAGGCTCAAGGACATTTCAGAAGAAAGGATGGAAATATTTAAGAGCCAGAGGTAGTTGACATCTGCAGCAAAACAGTATTTGTCTCACATGACAGGGCCGTTACACACATGAACTCAGAGTGGTTGTGACTACATGCATTAAGACCTACACAAAATCCAGCCAGCAAAAATCCCAGCATGGATGTGGGAAGACCTCATGGAGTCCTACCCCTAGCTGAGGAGCAACTGATGAATTGATGGCTGGAGGAGGGTAGGGGGAGTCAGTTTTCTTCAGGGATGCGGGCCCTGAGAGGCCACTCGTGCTCCAGTGGATGTCCTACACTCTTGCAGCAGCACCAAGTGGACTCCATGGGTTCAAAAAAGAGTAAATGAAGTTGGGAGGGAAAAAAATGTTCTGGGGGTGGGTATGTGGGGGGGGCAGAGGGGAGGAATTGGACGGAAGGGAACCGGAGGTGGATTTGATCAAAATACATTATATGCATGCAGATTTGAAAATCTGTTAATCTTTTCAAAGAACCAACTTCATTTCATTGGTTCTTTCTATTTTGTTCTTGTTACTTGTTTGCTTGTTTCTATTTAATTTCAGCTCTGATTTTGATCATCTCTTCACATCCACTGGGTTTTAAAAAAAATATTTTAAATTATGTGTATATGTGTGTCTTGTGTGCACATGCATGCGGGTGCCTGCATGGGCCAAAAGCAGGAACTAGATCCACTGGAGTTGGAGTTACAGGCAGCTGTAAATTTCCTAATGTGAGTGCTGGGAAGTGAACCCAGGTCTTCTACAAGAGTAGGAAGTGCTCGTAACTGCTGAGCCATCTCTCCAGATACCATCAACTTCTATTTAGGGGTATTGTTTGCTCTTGATTTTCCAAGGCCTTCAAGTAAATCATTAAGTTATTTTTTAGAGATCTATCAAGCATTTTAGGTAGACACTTAGCACTATACACTTTCCTTTTAGGACTGTTTTCATTTTTATTCAACCCTAGGAATTTAAAAATTTCCTCGTTGATGTCTTCCTTGACTCAATTATCATTCAGTGATGTGTTGTTTAGTGTCCATGAGTCTGTGTACTTTCTGTAGTGTCTATTACTGTTGACATCCAGCTTTATTCCATTTTGGTCAAGTAGAATGCAGGATGTTATCTCAATTTTCTTATGTTTTAAAGACTTGCTTTGTGCCCGAGTATATGGCCGATTTTGGAAAATGCTTCATGAGCTGCTGAGAAAAACGTGTATTCTTTAGTGTTTGGGTGAAATGTTTTGTACATGTCTGTTAAGTCCATTTATGATGCCATTTAACACCAATGTTTCTCTGTTCAAGTTTCTGTCCAGATGACTTGACTATTGCTGAGAGTCAGGTATTGAAGTTACCCACTATCTCTGAATTGGTATTAATCTGTGGTTTTAGATCTAATAGTATGTTTATGGTTTTTTGTTTGTTTGTTTGTTTTGGTTTGGGTTTTTTTTGCAGGGGGGAGTCTTTTTGAGATTGGGTCTCCCTGAAGTCCAGCTGGCCTGGAACTTGCTATGCAGGCCAGGCTGCCCTTGAACTGAGAGATTCCCCCTGGCTCTGCCTCCCAAGTGCCAGGATTAAAGGCATGCACCACCACACCTGGCTCTAGCAGTCTGTCTCTTATGAAGACAAATATGGATGTGCCTGTATTTGGTGAGTATATTTTAGAGTCCTCTTGGTGCATTATTCCTTTGATGAGTACGAAGTGACCTTCCTTACTTCCTCTGATTAGTTTTGGTTTGAAGTTTATTTTGTCAGATATTATCATAGTTACACCTATTTATTTCTTAGTTCCTTTTGCTTAGAATACCTTTTTTCAGTTTTATATCCATAGGTATCTATTGCTGATGGTATGTTTCGTGGAGGCAGTAAAAAGATGGCTCCTGTTTTCTTTTTTTTTAAAAACTTTTTAAAAATTTTATTTATCATTTTTATTTTACATGTATGTGTGTATTGCCTGCATGTAGGTAAGTGCACCCACGTCATACAATGCCCACGGAGGTCAGAAGAGGCTGTCAGATCCCCTGGGACTGGAGTTACAGACAGTTGTTAGCTACCATGTGGGTGCTGGGATTTGAACCTGGGTCTTCTGCAAGAACAACCAGTGTTCTTAACCGCTGAGCCATCTCTCCAGCCTGGATCCTGTTTCCTAATCCAATCTACTAGTCTGTGTCTTTATTGGAGAATTGAGACCATTAATATTAAGTTATTAAAATCTCGACCCAAGACTTAGACATAAAATGTGTTTCTCTGAAGTCTTACCTCTGGAGTCTTTTCAACTAAAGCTTCCATTCTAGATGGGATTACTGCACAGTTCCTGAGCAGGATTAAATTTAACAACATGAAATATATTTATCAGGAAGTCAGGAT